AACAAAAGAGGGTTCTTGGATGGCCTGGTCTGCCCCTAGTGCATATGGCCTATTTGGTATCCTGACTTAATCAGAAGAAAACCACAGTGGAGGTCAAAGGAGAACAGGAAAAATACTCCTCCCCCTCTACCTGCTGGAATTACCAAGGCAAAATCATTGTCACAAGTCAACTGATATCAGCATCCTTTTCCTAGTGGGCTGTTCTCATATCCTGGAGATTACAGGAGTTAGTGCTGATCCCAGTTAAATCCCAGGAGGCAGCAAGAGCCAGTTTTCTGACAAATTGATAAACATGGCCTCTGTTGCTTTCACTTCCTTTCTCACCATCTCACCCTTCTCTCCTAATTCCCTTTGGTTCACCAAGCATCTTGCCTGAGCCCCAATCTAAAGGTCCAGGATCTCTCCACTAGGGTGAAGTCTTCAGACTTTGGAGTTGCATGCCCTGGTTTACCTCTGTCACTAGCTGGTCCTTAGTGGTCTTAACTTCAAGTTAACTTCTCTGAGTCTCCATTTCCTCATCCTTAAAATAGGTACAATAATACTCCCATAAGGGAAAGCTGAAAGAGGTAAAGGCTGTAGGTAAAGTTCTTAGCATGGTGCAGTAAGCTGCAGATATATAGTTTATGGCATCTCAACGGGATATCTTATGCCTTTCCAAGGGCACTTATGCTCAGACAGAGTCCCTTGAATTCCCAAAGGCCATGAAGAATCCAATGATGCTGGTGGCAGAATTCCAGGGATGGCAGCAGGATGATATTTGGAGTAGGGAGTTGTCCCTAAGTCTCTGATTCATTCCAACAAGGACAGAGTTCTCTGCTCTCTGGGGCATTTGATGTTGGAGACTAACTACAGTCTAGTGACAAAGCGGCAGAGCTGGGAACCAGAAATCTACTCCAGGGATTTCTAACGTTATATACCAAAGTGTTTTGAAAAAAAATTAAATAGTATTGCATTCAAACATTTCCAAAATATTTAGGTATTAAAAAACATCAGATGTAAGTCACTTCCAAATTGAATTACATATGTTTATATAGGTAAGGGGTTTGTATAGCTGTTTATATAGGTAGGAGTGGCTGATTCCAGGAAATAGAGGTTAGGTCAAACCTCACAGTCTTGGCTCAAGGAAATGGCTTAGTAGAACAGCTTCTCAATTATTTATGTGCTGAAGAATCACCTGCAGATCTTGTTAAGATGCAGCCTCTGATTCAGTAGTTCTGCGGTTAGACCTGAGATAGCATTAGTAACAAAGTCCCAGATGATGCCAGTGCTTCTAGCCATGGACCATACTTGGAGAATCAAAGTGGTAGACAAAGCTTCCTCTCTGTCTTGTACTTACTTTACCCTGAAAGATCATTTACTGCCAGCTACTGCTCAGATGCACATTATCTCTCTTTGTACCTGAATGAGTCCCTGAATTATCTTTCCTGTCCCAAGAGTGGCCTGAAAATGACCCCGCAATGGCAAAATCTGGCCTTCTCACGCCACCCTAACCAGAAATTGCTCCAAGGAGCTGAAAACGTTAACTGAACCATAAGCTCCTCCCAAGCTCGCCCTCTGCTGGTGAACAAGGGTCATTTTCTAAACATTCACCAAGCCTTTCTTACTGCTCGGATACTCATATTTTCTTCCAGTTAGTACAAGGAGAAAGGTTGCATGACATATTGCAAAAGTTTACTTCACCTTTGTAGATACTGGAGAATTCTTCCACTCCACCCTTAAAATCCATCCATCATTTTAAGGGAGGGAGGAGACAATGTTTAACACTTACTACAACTCCTATATCTGTAATGCTGTCTAAAATGCCTTCACCCCACCCTGATTTTGTCCTTATCCTATTCCCACTTTCAACATTGACCTGGCAAGCCATCCTTTACCCATTCAGGTCATGAGCGAGCAGCAGTTTATTTTGATCTAGGGTGGAGGTTAGTTGTGAAGGCAAAGATGGTATTGCCCAGAGAACTAGAATCAAAAAAAAAAGGCTGGGGAGATGGGAGATTAATGCCACAGATCAGATCACCATCATTCATTCATTTGCAAACCTTAGGACCAGGAGCAGCGTACTCATAACTCCTGCATACAGAGATCATAGCCTACTAGAAGAAATAAGTGCAATACTTACTAAATCTTTGCCATATGCCAACCACAGGGGAAGATTTCCCAAAAAGTAAGGTAAACACAGGCTTTCACCACATCTTTGATGTGGAAAAAAAAAAAAAAAAAAACACGTGAAACTGTTCACTACAGATCAATGAGTAAGCAAAAGTAAGCCTGTTCTTACCGTTTACTGATTACTCCTTCCCTGTCAGGGATTGTAAATCTGAAAAGAGATTTTGATTCTGTAGAAAGTTGCTGTCAGTTTGGGAGAGGAACAGATGCCAGCCATATCCAGAAGCAGAATCTTTGACGTGGTATAAAAAAAAAAGTTGTTCACTCCAGGTTAGTAAGTAAGCACAAGGAAGCCTGTGCTGTCCTTGCTTACTGGGTAATCCCACACTGGCAGACCACCGTACTGACACTACTTCATTTTATTTTATTTAATTCTCACAGTAATCCTAAGATTGTTAAAAAAAAAAAAAAAAAAAAAACACTCACTGCCATCGAGTCAGATCCGACTCATAGCAACCCCTCCTTGGGTTTCCAAGGCGGTATAACTACAGAAGTGGATTGTCCAACCTTCTTTCTGAGGAATGGCTGGTGGATATGAACTGATAGCCTTCTAGTTAGCAGTCAAATGCCTTAGGCGCTATGCCACCAGAGCTTATTGGCATTGCACAAATAGGAAAATTGGGGTTCAAAGACATTAGGTGTTGGTGGTGCTTCTAGTTAATGATGAAGCTAGGTGGCTTTGAGCTACAATTTGTTATTGTCCTTCAGGGTATTCTGGGGATTGAGGAGCCCAACAGACTGGTTCTCACTTGGGTCCCTTATACAGTTGCAGTCAGATAGTGGCTAAGGCTATGTGTGCATGTCAGGAGCTAGGGCTGGGATGCCTGAAACAGCTAAGGAATGGTCAGCCATCTCTTTCTCCTTGGCCTCTCCATGTGGCTAGCTTGAGCTTCCTCCCAGTGTGGCATCCTCAGGGTAGTTGGACATCTTAGATGATAACTGGTTTCCCACAGAGTAAATGTTCTAAGAAACTCAGATAGAAACAGCAAAATTTCTTATGATCTAGCCTCAAAAAGTATATGGCATCACTTCAACTATATTCTGTTGGTCAAAGCAACTGCTGGTCAATTCAGATTCAAGAGAATGAAAGAGTGGACTCTATGTCCAATGAGGGAGTAGCTTACAAGTATTAATTCCTGGCAAGGAATTAATAAAGAGCATTATAATTAATAAAGACCATTTCGGAGCTCTGGTAGCACAGTGTCTAAGGCATTTGACTGCTAACCAGAAGGTTGGTGGTTCAAACCCACCAGACACTCTGTAGAAGGAAGGTGGAGCAGTCTACTTCCATAAAGATTCACAGCCTTGGAAACCTAATGGGGGTCGCTATGAGTCAGAATTGACTCAGTGGCAGTGGGTGAGTTAGAGACAGATTATCACCAGGATTTGAATCTTGGCAGCCTGACTCCAAACTGTGTGCTCAACCATTATGTTCTACTCAAGTAATACACATATAATTACAAGGCAAGTGAGTAACAAGTTCAGCTGCTCACTGAAATGTTGTTGGTTCAAGTCCACCAAGGGCCACCTCAGAAGAAAGACCCAACAGGTGACTTCTGAAAAAAAAAAAAAAAAAAAACCTGCCATCGAATCAATTCTGACTCACAGTGACCCCCTTTGGATTCGAGGTCATAAATCTTTATAGAAGTAGATTGCCCAGTCTTTCTTCTGTGGAGTGGCTGGTGGGTTTGAAACACCAACCTTCTGGTTCGCTGTCAAATTCCTTAGGCACTATGCCACCAGAGCTCCACTGAAAACCAATGGGACACAGTTCTACTCTAATACACATGGGGTTTCCATGAGTCAGAACTGACTTTACAGCAACTGGTTTAGTTTTGGGGTTTTTTGTTTGTATTTTTATTGGTGACTGGAATAAGATGGGGTGCTCTGGTGGCATGGTGCCTAAGGCATTTGACTGCTAACCAGAAGGCTGGTGGTTCAAACCCACCAGCCACTCCTCGGAAGGAAGGTAGGGCAATCTACTTCTGTAGTGATACTGCCTCGGAAACCCAAGGAGGGATCGCTATGGTTTTTTTGTTTTTGTTTTTTGTTTTGAGGAATAAGATATAATTGGCTGCTAACTGCAAGTTTGGCAATTCAAACCCACCTAGCAAATCCTCAGAAAGCAGACCTGGCCATCTGCTTCCATAAAGATTACAGCCTAGAAAACCATATGGGCCACTTCTTTGTCACATTGTATACATATGAGTCAAAATCAACCTAAAACACCTAACAAGAAGAAGAAAGGAGGAGGAAGTGATTAGCTTTGCCTCAACAGGTCAGGGAAGCTTCAAAAAGGAAAAATCATCACGTGGGCATGTGAGGACACACATACACACACACACCCCTCCCCTTAGTGTGGAGGACAGATTGGGATTGCATGGGTTAGCATTGTCTGTAAGCTCTGTATTAGGTGAGGTTGCCTAAAAGCTGAGGGCCTAAGACAAGTCTGAAGCAGCAGTGGAAAGTTCTCTGGCCTTGAAATGAGAAACCATGAAGTCCAGGCCCAATTCTGCCTTTCAGTAGTTCTGGGACCTTGAGAGGAACCAGAAGGGCAAGAAAGGGAAGAAACAGAAGCCCTAGGCCATTCCAGAACATTGTTGTTGTTATGTGCCGTTGAGTCGGACCCAACTCATAGCAACCCCTCCTTGGGTTTCCGAGGCAGTATCACTACAGAAGTAGATTGCCCCATCTTCCTTCCGAGGAGTGGCTGGTGGGTTTGAACCACCAGCCTTCTGGTTAGCAGTCAAGTGCCTTAGCCACTATGCTACCAGAGCTTCCAGAACATTAGTGGGGAGGAATTTCTGACTATGTTGTGCTCCGCCCCACCCCAGATTGGAGACCCACACTTGGTGATCTGCATGGACTGCTCAGCAGACACCATGACCAACCGCCTTCTGCAGCGGAGCCAGAGCAGCCCACGAGTGGACAACAACACCAGGACCATCGTCAAGCGCCTTGAAACCTACTACCGTGCATCCATCCCTGTGGTTGCCTATTATGAGACGAAGACACAGCTACACAAGGTGAACCATTTAACTTCTCCTCCTCTAAAATTAGCCACTGGCCCATCCCCCCTTCCCCAAGAAAAGAGAGCAAGCTGGCACATTTTTGGTTAAGGGGTCTGGGAATTTGAGCTCCAAGCAGCTGCAGAGTTTGGGCCAAAAGTCTCCTACTCTCTTTTGTCTCGATCAAAATTAAATACTTGTCATTATATGAACCATAAAAATGTCAGTCCTATAACTCTCACCAATGCTATTACAGTTTCTGAAAACAAATCCTTTTTTCAAGAAAGAGAGAGGTGAGCATGAGGCATAGCTTCTGCACTAACTTTCTGCTTAATTTCTAGATTCCAGCTGAATGGGGTGATCCAAAAGGTCCCTGTTCTGGTTACCTAGTGCCGCTCTGACAGGAATATACCACAGATGGGATGGCCTTAACAAACAGGAGTTTATTCTTACAATTTGGAGGCTTTAAGTCCAAGTTCAAAGTGCCAGACTCTAGGGGCTGGGTGAAAGCCCCTCAGCCTTGGACTTAAGCTCTGCCTCAAGCTCCCAGCCCACTGAAGCTAGAGGCTTTTCTTCACTCAGACAGCTGCTGGCTGCTGAGGCTGAGAAGCCCCAAGATTGACAAGTAAAAAGGCACAGTCCAATGTTATCAAACCACATGGCAGGCCATTAACTTAAGTCCATTGTAAGTCCCCAGGGGGGCAGAGCATGGCAGGCTGTTAAACAACGACATGGCTACATGCAGAGTCTAAGCATACCATAAGCTAGAGACCATTCCCAAGGCTTCTCCTTATATACGAGAAGCAGACCACATACCCAAAGGCAGCTACTCAGCTGCTCACAGTAGATTCCACTGTGGAGTTGATTACCAGTCTCATCATGGGGAATACTACATTCAGCTGCCCAGCCACACAACTAGGCCTACCCAAGTTGACACAAAAACATAACCACCACAGTCCTTCTAGACCTAAAATTCAACAACTTTGAATTTCTAAATTTTTACATAGTTCGTGCTTAACACTTGGCTGCTTTGCCTCAATTTCCTACAGTCATTGATATTATTAAGAGAGACGGCATATGGGGCCAGGAGAGCACGTAATTAGATGGAACAGTGAAAATACTCCAGGGCAGTGGGTAGTGTCAGCTTAATGAGCATGAGCTATAATCCATGCTGAATAACTATTAATTTCTTGAATTTGAGTAAACTACCCAACTTCCATTCATTTATTCATTAAATAAATATGTATTGAGCAGCTACTATGAGCCAGGCATTGCCCTAGTCATTTACATCCAGATAATAAGATACAGTGTTGTGTGGGAGATGGAAATGACAGTATAGGGAAAAAGCAAGCATAGAGTGAGTTCCAAGGGCCCTTTAATACAGTCTGAGAGGAAAGGAAAAGTAGGGGGAAAGGTTGCCAGAGGAAGATTAAACTAGGTTGGGGGTGGGGTGGGGGTTGTCAAGGAGTAAGCCCAGGTGGTGCAATGGTTAGAGCTACTCAGCTGCTAACCAAAAGTTTGAACCCATTAGCCACTCCGTTGGGAGGAAGATATGGCAGTCTGCTTCCATAAAAATTTACCACCTTGAAAACCCTAAGGGGCAATTTGATTCTGTCCTGTAGGGCCACTACAAGTCAGAATCAACACAATGGCAATAGATTTGGTTTGGTGGGTGGGGTGGGGTAGGGGGTAAGGTACTGTGAGGGAGAGGTACTTCACACCCAACGAGCCCAAGTGAAAAGTCAGGAGGCAAGTAACCCAGCTTGGTTGTTGCCAAGGAAAAGGGAGAGAAGAGATGGGGATGGAGAGGCAAGCAAGGACTAGATAAAGAGGAACCTTCTGTAGGGTGATGGGAACTACTGAAGGGGACAGATATAATCAGGGCTACATTTTAGAAAGCTCACCGGGTCAACCTTATGAAAAATGGATCACAAGGAAATAAGGCTAGGAGAGTACTGGGAGACTGAGGCAGCAATGTAGAAACAAAAGAAATCCTGAGATCCCAAACTAGAGCAGGGAGAGTGGGGATCTATCTACCTCTTGCTATTCACAGAAAGTTAATGTTGTTGTTGTTATGTGCTGTCGAGTCGGACCTGACTCATAGTGACCCCTCCTTGGGTTTCCCAGGCAGTATCACTACGGAAGTAAATTGCCCAACCTTCCTTCCAAGGAGTGCCTGGCGGGTTTGAAACTCCAGCCTTCTGTTAGCAGTCAAGTGCCTTAGGCACTACGCCACCAGAACTCCTTTTATAGAAGACTAAACAATGCCCATCTGTTTAACTCAGGGATATCAAAGATGTGGCAGGTTCTGCATCCATGGCAAACATGGCAAATCTGCCTCCTTACTCTTTCCAGCAATACCTAGATGTAGCCCCAGAACATTTGCCAACAAAGCACCCCAGGCAGCTACTACCAATCAATAGGGCTTGGCATGCAAGATGAAACAGTTTTCTGTGCTTCCTGTAACCTTGGGTTACCACATAAAGCAAAGACTTACATGTTTAAAAATAAACAAGCAAAAAAAGAAATGTATTATATAAGAGCAGAGTCTTTAGAATTCAGGATTACAAAGTCCTTTCAAAGATTAGACAGTCCAGTGATTTCCACCCTTTGTACAGGCTGGAATACCCAGAAATTATCCAGAAAGAAGGAAAATTTCTCTACTTTGAAGATTTGTAGAGGCAGAAAAATCCCTAAGTAATTCCTGGCTTAGCCGCTTTCAGCGTTAGAAAGTTTCTTTCTCTATTCTATTCTGACATGAATTCTACAAATTTGTAAATCATTGGCACATGGATACAGGGTTAACAGAGTTCTCAGATAAAACAGATTTCTGAAATCCTCCTTAGAATATCCAAGTTAGTGGGAAAGGAACTTTCCAGTCCTCTTTGGGCCATCTCTTCAGCTTCCTCTGTATTTTAGAGATGCTGGCAGCTAGGGCGGTTGTGAGGTAACATTTTTGATCCACCCCAAAAGTACTGAAAACCACTCAGTCCTGGCTGCAGAGCAGTGTGGGTTCCAGCCCTTAGGACTCCCCTTTCAGAAGGCCTCTGGGGAAGCTGCTTTGTCCCACAGCCTCTGCAAATGACTGTCTCCTACCCATACAGCTACTGGGAGGACATTGGAAAACCAGTAAGAAGGGTCAAACAAAGCTCCCTCCCTGACCTCATGTAGACAGCCACACACATGACCCAGGAAGGTGAGAAGGGTTTGCAGGTGCCCCTTGGGGTTGTCACCAACTGAGCTATAGAGGTGCCCACCGGAGGACAATCAGAGGAGTGGAAAGAGACTTTTTCATTGGAATGAAGAAACCTCATGTGTTCTCTGGCCCTCTGTTCTCTTGTCCAGTCCTCTTGCATCAGCTTACTCTCCCCTGGTTTCTAGGTAACAGCTTGTGTCTTGTTTCTGTAATGCCTTTGGTTTGTCAGCACCTCTTCCCTGTCTTTGGTTTACTGGCCTCTCACAGTCCAAGTTGACTTGTGGGTAATTTTAAGGAGTTTTTTTAAATCAAGGGCGAAAGTGGTAAATATACTTCAAGATACAAGTGAGACCAATCAGAAGTTAATGGTGATTTATTTAAAAGAATTAAAGCCGCACTCATGGTCAATCAGTGCAACTCAGTAGTGGACCACCCTCCTCAAGAGCTTCCATCTGACCTCAAGTTTTGCCCACATTAAATCCACCAGCTGACATCCTGGCCTAATGACAGTCACCCCTTTTGGCCACCATCTAGCTGAAGGAAGTACATGAAATTTCAAATAAAAGATAATTATTAAAAAAAAAAAAAATTATGCAACCACTGCTTTCTTCTTTTATGTTCTTATTATACCATCATTGTACAAAAAAGTGAAAACTTCTTTATAACGTAAACCAAGAGGTAGAAGGACGTGTAATACAAATATATTTTCTACATGGTGTTTTTCCCCTCTCATAAAGCCAGCTTTACTCTGTATCTAAGAAAGAATTAGAATGAAACTTTTCTCCGTTCCATTGCCTTCCTCCCAGTAGTAAGGGCAGACATCATTACTCAATCATGCTGCTTTTTTCCTGTTAAGTGTGGAAGGCTCAGAAGTGTTCTCAATAGCAGGACAGATAGCCACACCCAATCAACTGGAGTTAGCCCAAAAGAGGAAGATGTTTTTCACCCTGAGTGAGAGAATTTATTATTGCATAAATAACTGAAATGTAGCAGTTTGGGGTTAAAAGCATATTAACTGGTCAAAGACTCCCTGGCAGAGAAAATTCTGGCCCTGCACGTCAGAAAGCCCCAGGCACAGTGGTATAAATGAGCTTTGTAAACTTGGTTGAGTCATCTCTCAGTTCTTCATCCCTAAAATAAAGTGAATGGAACAGAATTCCATCCCTGGGAACCCTCCAGGTCTACCACTCTATGATTCTCAGGAAATTTTTTTTTCTAATTATAAAAGTAACACGTGCTTGTTTTAGAAAATGTAGAAAACTAGGTAGTCCTACCACTCAGAGACAAGCATTTTGGCATACTTTCTCTAAACCTTTTTGCTGTAAAAATTTTTAAACCGGATTGTGACCATAGGTATGTTAATTAGGACTCCTTGGTGGTAGCTAACTGGCCCCAATTCTTGCTGACTAACCTGAATTATGTAAATTATAGAGTTATGTGGGCCAAGGCGGAAATGCAGCAGGCCCAGCAAAGTTGTGGAACCAGATGCTAGAAGGTTCCTCACCACTCTCTTTGCCTTCTCTTCTTTCTCTCTCTGGCACACAAGCCAGAATACGGTCACCCTATCTTCCACAATCACATGTTGCTGTAACAGTCAGTGAGTCCAAGTTCCAAATTGCTGAGAAAAGTTATCTGATTGGTCATACTTTGATGGCCAATGTCCATTGTAATAAGCAAAGATTTCAGAGTTCTGGTGGCTCAGTTGTTAAGCACTTGGCTGCTGAAAGGTCATTGGTTCGAACCCACCAGCCACTCTGTAGGAAACGCTATGGGGCAGTTCTGCTCTGTCCTTTAGGGTCACTATGAGTCAGTATCAACACAA